GGGGCACGGACACAGCCTGCCGACCGCGTCCCCGTGCTCACGCTGACTCTGCAGTCTCCGTCCACGCCCACAGCAGTGCGTGTCCTTGCCGTGTGGACGCGGGGGGAGCAGCCCGTCGGCACCTCCAAGGGCCCCAGGAGAAGGGCCCCACCCCGCCCCCGCTCAGGCCTCACGTCTTAACCACCGTTTACACGAGGAGCCAGTGACCCTCCAGCGTCAGGCTGTGGCTCAGATTTGCTCTGAGCCGGCTCCCTCCTGCATAATGAAAATGAAGGTCTCTGTTTGTCCTCTTTGTACACCTACATTTTCTCTGGTCTACATACAGTGATACCTCGGTTCTCGAACGCCTCGGATTTCGACCAAATCGGTATTCGACCAGGAGATTCGAGAAACTTTTGTCTCGGAATCCGAACAAATATTTGGAACTCGAACTTCCGAGATGAGCCGAGTTGAGCCGAATGGCGTTCATTCGGCCCAGCGCGCCTTGCTGGCGTCATCAGTGTGAGTGCAGAGAGAGAGTCACGCTTTGTGGAGAGAGTCACGCTTTACACTGAATTGAACCCTTGGACATACTGTACACTTTTATGTCTTGTTGAGACTTATGTTTTTCTACATATTATATACAAATTAGGCCAGTAAATAGGCATTTTCTGGGGCTTGGAACGAATTAATCCAGTTTCCATTATTTCCTATTGGGTTTCATTGCTTCGGTTCTCGAACAATTTGGTTCTCGACCGTCCTCCTGGAACGAATTATGTTCGAGAACCGAGGTATCACTGTGTATATATTTTTCTTTTATTAGTGACTTTAGAGAGAGAGAAAGGGAGAGGGAGAGAGAGATAGAAACAGATGAGAGAACATCGACTGGCCGCCTCCTGCAGGCCCCCCACTGGGGATGGACCCACAACCTGGGCCTGTGCCCCAACCGGGAATCGAACAGGCGACCTCTTGGTGCAGGGTCAGCGCCCAACCACTGAGCCACACCGGCCGGGCTGGCCATATTCTTTATCCAGAGCTATGTCTCCATTTGTAATTACATGTTTCTTGCAACGTCTATTTAATGTTTGTGACTCTCACTAAGACGCGAGCTCTGTGAGGACAGGGACTGGAGCTGTGGTCAGAGAGGTTTTTATTTTCTTAATATTTTTATTGATTTTTCAGACAGAGATAGAAACATCAATGAGAGAGACACACTGATTGGCTGCCTCCTGCACGCCCCCCAGTGGGGATGGAGCCCAGCACCCTGGCAGGTGCCCTGACCGGGACCGAACCGGGACCTCTCAGTCCCTGGGACGACGCTCAGCCCCTGAGCACACCAGCCGGGCACAAAGATGTTTCACAGCTGGGCAGGGGCCAGTCCAGGGGGTCTGTGGGTCACGCGGAGGAATCCGGGGTGTATGCTGCAGGCGACTGAGATCCACGGAGGAAGTTCGAGCCAGGGGCTGGTGGGCTCGGAGCTGCGTCTGGAAGGTCCGTGCGGCCCCCGGTGAGTGTGGCCGAGACGGGAGTGAGGGCGGCGGAGGAGGAGGGAAGAGGCCCCGAATGGACGCGGGTGAGGGTGTCGAAGGGACAGGACACGTGTCACAGGCAGAGGGACTTCCCGTCGGTGGTGGTTCCCTGGGGGCAGGCTCCCAGGCGGAGGTCCCTGTGCGCTGCTTTTGGAACTCACACTGGAGGGCCAGGGCGGGAAGCGGTGGACACGAGGGACGGCCGTGCGGTGTGGACCCGGTAGGCTCCCGAGTGCAGCTCCGGAGCTGGGCTGGCCTCCAGCCGCAGGACGGATGGCCGAGTCCCCGGGGCTGCTGCTGACCGAGGCGGAGAGCAGGACAGGAGCCCTGGAGGGGCCGGGCCGGCTGAAGGCAGAGACGCAGGGTGGAGGTCTGACGGGAAGCAGCAGGAGCCACGGCCGGGAACTTGGCTCCCTGGACCCGGGAAGTGAGGCGAACACTGGGCTATCCGCAGAAGCCCAGGACAGACAGACAGACAGACAGACCAAAGACACATGGGCGATGTCTCCTCTGGAAAGGAGAGCTGAGAACGGACAAGGAGCAACAGGCAGGCAGGACCCTCCCAGCGGTGGGGACAGATGTGATGGCGAGGTGCCCCGGCCCCTCCTCAGGGCCCCTCTGTGGACAGTGTGCGGTGAGGGCCCCTCCTCAGGGCCCCTCTGTGGACAGTGTGCGGTGAGGGCCCCGCGTCCCGGGCTCTGTGGACAGTGTGCACTGTGGGCCCCGCGTCCCGGGCTCTGTGGACAGTGTGCACTGTGTGGGCCCCGCGTCCCTGGGCCTCTGTGGACAGTGTTGCGGGTGAGGGCCCCGCGTCCCAGGGTCTCTGTGGACAGTGTGCACTGTGGGCCCCGCGTCCCCGGGCTCTGTGGACAGTGTGCAGTGAGGGGCCCCGCGTCCCGGCTCTGTGGACAGTGTGTCGGTGAGGGCCCCGCGTCCCGGGCTCTGTGGACAGTGTGCACTGTGGGCCCCCGTCCCGGGCCTCTGTGGACAGTGTGCGGTGTGGGCCCCGCGTCCCCGGGCTCTGTGGAACAGTGTGCGGTGAGGGCCCCGCGTCCCGGGCTCTGTGGACAGTGTGCGGGAGGGACCGGGTCCCGGGCTCGGTGGACGTGCTGCGGTGAGGGCCCCGAGTCCCGTGCTTCTGTGGACAGTGTGCGGTGAGGGGGCCCCGCGTCCCGGCTCTGTGGACAGTGTGCGGTGAGGGCCCCGCGTCCCCGGGCTCTGTGGACAGTGTGCGGTGAGGGCCCCGCGTCCCCGGGCTCTGTGGACAGTGTGCGGTGAGGGCCCCGCGTCCCGGGCTCTGTGGACAGTGTGCACTGTGGGCCCCGCGTCCCCGGGCTCTGTGGACAGTGTGCGGTGAGGGCCCCGCGTCCCGGGCTCTGTGGACAGTGTGCACTGTGGGCCCCGCGTCCCCGGGCTCTGTGGACAGTGTGCACTGTGGGCCCCACGTCCCCGGGCTCTGTGGACAGTGTGCACTGTGGGCCCCGTGTCCCCGGGCTCTGTGGACAGTGTGCGGTGAGGGCCCCGCGTCCCGGGCTCTGTGGACAGTGTGCACTGTGGGCCCCACGTCCCCGGGCTCTGTGGACAGTGTGCACTGTGGGCCCCGCGTCCCGGGCTCTGTGGACAGTGTGCACTGTGGGCCCCGCGTCCCGGGCTCTGCGGACAGTGTGCGGTGTGGGCCCCGCGTCCCCGGGCTCTGTGGACAGTGTGCGGTGAGGGCCCCGTGTCCCCGGGCTCTGTGGACAGTGTGCGGTGTGGGCCCCGCGTCCCGGGCTCTGTGGACAGTGTGCGGTGAGGGCCCCGCGTCCCGGGCTCTGTGGACAGTGTGCACTGTGGGCCCCGCGTCCCCGGGCTCTGTGGACAGTGTGCGGTGAGGGCCCCGCGTCCCGGGCTCTGTGGACAGTGTGCACTGTGGGCCCCACGTCCCCGGGCTCTGTGGACAGTGTGCACTGTGGGCCCCACGTCCCCGGGCTCTGTGGACAGTGTGCGGTGAGGGCCCCGCGTCCCGGGCTCTGTGGACAGTGTGCACTGTGGGCCCCGCGTCCCCGGGCTCTGTGGACAGTGTGCACTGTGGGCCCCGCGTCCCCGGGCTCTGTGGACAGTGTGCACTGTGGGCCCCGCGTCCCGGGCTCTGCGGACAGTGTGCGGTGTGGGCCCCGCGTCCCCGGGCTCTGTGGACAGTGTGCGGTGAGGGCCCCGTGTCCCCGGGCTCTGTGGACAGTGTGCGGTGAGGGCCCCGTGTCCCGGGCTCTGCGGACAGTGTGCAGTGAGGGCCCCACGTCCCGGGCTCTGTGGACAGTGTGCGGTGAGGGCCCCGCGTCCCCGGGCTCTGTGGACAGTGTGCACTGTGGGCCCCGCGTCCCCGGGCTCTGTGGACAGTGTGCGGTGAGGGCCCCGTGTCCCCGGGCTCTGTGGACAGTGTGCGGTGAGGGCCCCGCGTCCCGGGCTCTGCGGACAGTGTGCACTGTGGGCCCCGCGTCCCGGGGCTCTGTAGACAGTGTGCACTGTGGGCCCCGCGTCCCGGGCTCTGTGGACAGTGTGCGGTGAGGGCCCCGCGTCCCGGGCTCTGTGGACAGTGTGCGGTGAGGGCCCCGCGTCCCCGGGCTCTGTGGACAGTGTGCGGTGAGGGCCCCGTGTCCCGGGCTCTGTGGACAGTGTGCGGTGAGGGCCCCGCGTCCCCGGGCTCTGTGGACAGTGTGCACTGTGGGCCCCGTGTCCCCGGGCTCTGTGGACAGTGTGCGTTGAGGGCCCCGCGTCCCGGGCTCTGTGGACAGTGTGCGGTGAGGGCCCCGCGTCCCGGGCTCTGTGGACAGTGTGCACTGTGGGCCCCGTGTCCCGGGTTCTGTGGACAGTGTGCGGTGAGGGCCCCGCGTCCGCACTGCCTCAGGGTGGTGCTCAGACAGGAAGCTCCTGGCTCTGTCATCAACATTCCTCCGCGGACGCTCCGACATTAATTACAGTGTTGCTAAGACAATAAGACTCGGCAGATATAAAGTTGAAGCAGGTTTTCTGGACACACCTCTGGCACCTCCTCGCTGGCCGGGAAGCTTCTCTGCAGCTGGGAACAATCCTCGCAGAGACGGACGTGTGGGCGCCGGCGGGCAGCTCGCTGCCTCGGGTTTGCACCGAGCGTGATGGGCAACCACCGAGGGAAGCGGCATCAGACACCCCTGTAGGCTCAGGCCTCCGCCTTCGGGATTTTTTTTTATCCTCACCCGAGGACACTCTGCATTTATCTTCGGATAGAGTGGGAGGGAGAGGGGGGAAGAGACAGAGAAACATCGATGTGAAAGGGACACATCGAGTGGCCGCCACCCGCACGACCAACCAGGGCCGGGGACAAACTGCAACCGAGGTACATGACCTTAGCAGGAACCGAACCCAGGACTCTCTGGTCCGTGGGCCGACGCTCTAACCACTGAGTCACACCGGCCAGGGCCCCCCTGCAGGATTTTGAGCGACTTCCAGAGCGGACCCGTCTTCACCGTCAAGGCGATGGCGTTTTATCCCCTGCCAGTCGCCGGGCTGGTCCTGGGGTTTCTCGGCCTGGTCGGGACCCTGGCCACCACGCTCCTGCCCCAGTGGAGGGTGTCGGCGTTCGTGGGCAGCAACATCATCGTCTTCGAGAGGGTCTGGGAAGGGCTGTGGATGAACTGTGTGCGGCAGGCCAAGACCGCCCTGCAGTGCAAGTTCTACAGCTCCCTGCTGGCCCTGCCCCCCGCGCTGGAGGCCGCCCGGGCCCTCACGTGCCTGGCCGTGGCTCTCGCCCTGGCCGCCCTGCTGGTGGGCATCTGTGGCATGAGGCAGGTCCAGTGTGTGGGCTCCCAGGGCAGGGCCAAGGCGCACCTGCTGGGGACGTCCGGGGCCCTCTTCCTGCTGACCGGCGTCTGCGTGCTCGTCCCGGTGTCCTGGACGGCCAACATCATCATCAGGGACTTCCACAACCCCGCCATCCACGTGGGGCAGAAGCGGGAGCTGGGGGCCGCTCTGTTCCTGGGCTGGGCCAGCGCCGCCGTCCTCCTCGTCGGAGGGGGGCTGCTCTGCGGGTTCTGCTGCTGCGACAGGAAGAAGCCGCGGCCCCGTCCCCCAGCCCCCAGACACCGTGCGCCCCCCGGGGGCACGCGAGGGGAGGTGGTGATGCCGAGGAAGGCCTCCGCCAGCTACGTCTGAGCCCCGCGGGGCCAGGCCCGGGCTTACGGTCAGCGCGTCTTACAAAGGAGTCCTGCCGGGAACCGTAAGTACGCCGGGCAGGGGACCTGGCTTTCTGGCCCCGTCTGCGTTACGACGAAAGGACACAGACTGCAGCTCGTCACCTGGGGTGGGGATGGGAGCATGGACGCTGGACACTCTGACATCGTGTGTCACATGTATGTACCATGACAGGACTCGGCGACTCTGCACCCCGGTCGGTGTAGTCTAACTCAGTACAATGATGGACGTCTTGCTTCAGACAATCATCTATTATTGACTAAAAAATCCAAATTACATTGCAATAATGCACAGCTGTAGAACATTCTAAAACATAGCCTACCGTTCCTCCACGTTAGTTCTCACACTAACAGCGAAAATGATGACTTAAAAACAAGCAAACAATTAACCTGAAAAATAAGACATAAAATCAGGATTTTAGTTGAATTGATCAGAACATGAGGATGCCCGTCCGATGATAAGGTCTGTCATTCTTGAGGGAACGCAGGTGTGCTGACCACACTGTCAGGGGAAAGGGAACGCGATTTGTCTCGGGATGTTGAAGATGACGGATTTTAGGGCGTCTGAGGTATGCAGTAAACCCGCTTAACTGTTACATATTCAGAAAGTAATTCGTAACTGAGAAGTAAGAGGCGCTCGTCACCGACGGTGTCCCCGCACGCGGACAGACCCGAGCGGGTAACGTCCTCAGAGGGCTGAACGCCGGCCATCGGCAGGAGGAAATGCGCCTGAGCAGGGCTGAGTTCGGTGTCGACGGGACCGGTTTCTGTTCCTTGTTCAGCCTGTGAGTCACCGTGCAGGTCTCCGCACGCCAAGTGCAATGAATGACCGAGGTAATGACTTCGGCAAGCAGCCAAGACAGATGCCTCCCTCCCCGTGCGTCCATAAACGAAGGGGCATGGCTCATGCATTTTGTTTCACTTGAATTATACCCACTGTCTTCTCAGTTTCTCAATCTCATGTTTATAAGCCAGGATGGGGTTCAACATGTGTGTGGGGTGGGGTGCACTTGGGTAGGGAGGGGGTGTGGGGTTGCCCCTGAATATCTCCAATGCGTTGTGAACCAACAATGTGCATATGTTCAGTTTTAACGCTTCAAATATTGTGTTGCTTTTGTAAGCAAGTATTTGTAAAAATGTATTTAATTTACAGCAACTAACTGCAATGAACAGGTTACATTGTTCACCAAATATTTGTTGCATGTCTATCCTGATTATAATAAAATAAAACAGCTACCCGTGTTCAATAATGTGGACTGAACTGTGGGGCCGACTTAGGGATGAATCTCTGTCCTGAGGGGATCACCTCGTGCTCTGAACCCCCTCGGGAAGGACCGCGGGCGGAGGCAGAGCCTCACTCCACCCCACCAGTGTCCAGCAGGGCTCGGCGAGTCAAACCCTTGATCACCTGCAATCATGTGGAAATCGTTACTGCTACATGAAAGGCTGCAAAAAATGTAAATGTCTTCAAGAAACACGATGATTTGTTTGACTTTTCCTAAGATTTCCTTTTTCAGACTGAACTCAGGTGTCCGTGTCGGGTGAGTAGAAAAGTCGCCGTTGAGCTGACACGGCGCAGAAACCACAAGACAGGGGCTCAGGGGTCTACCCTGGGCTCACGGGAACAGGTAACTCCCCTCGCGGGGCGGGGGGTTCCAGGGCGTGGGACCCCACCCGCCAGAGCACCGGGGAGCGAAAAGGTGCAGCTTGGGGCTCAGAATTCTTCCCCCGGCTCTGTGACTGAGCAAGGTGTGCTTTTGGAGAAATTATTTCTACCCCCTCCCCCGCTGCCTTATTTTCCCTACTAAACCAAATTTAAAAAAAAAATTTTCAATACACTTCAGGATGATGGTTGAAAATCTCACAGCACAAACCCAGATGTGTACGGTTTCTAAACTTTAACCTAAATTCAGCTTCTCGGGTGTCGTCCACGAAGATACAGATGCTGGGGACTCGCGCAGAGATGAGCAGGGTCTAGGGCGGTGGGTTCAGGGTCAGACCATGACCATCAGTCCCTACTGATCACTGAGGAAATATCTGTTGGAAAAGACTTTCTCCCCTCTGCCCAGTCGTCCGTTCACACGGACGCTGCGGCCCGGGAGGGGCAGCCCGGGGAGTGAGGAGGGACCTCCCAGAGCAGAGATGAGTCGTGAGAGACCCAGGCTGAGACCACCCTCCCTCGTCCCGGCCTCTGTGCCACCAGGAGAGCTGGGCCGAGAGGGGCCTGGGCCTGCGACGGGGGTGCTGGAGGCGAGCTGTGGGTGGGGACCTGGACCACCGGGCGGACGAGCCCGCGGGGCCCAGAGCACAGGCGCCCGAGACATCACCGCAGGCACGACGGGAAACGGGCTGTCCTACCTCCGACACAGCGGACAAGGCAGGCGCTCTGTGAAGACAGAGATGCCGGGACACCAGGCGGCGGCAGGAAAGGGGACCCACCAATAAAACTCGGGAATTCAGTTAGTTTTTGTTTTAGTTTGAAAGGCCTCAATTCCGAGGAGCGTGTGGGCAAAGAACAAGACGGCTGTCAGACCTGGGCTTTTGCTTTTGGGTTTATAAAGTGATTTATTCGGGCAGAGATAAAACAGAAACAAACAGAGCTAAGCGGGTCTGACACTCGTGTCCCGGGGTCGACCCTGAGGACTGGGGCCTGGAGGGAACCCAGGGGCAGAAGGACCTGCACCCTAACCAGGTGATGCCAGCGACGTCGAGGCTGTCTTGACCCTCAGAGCGCTGGGGGTCAGCAGCAGCCCTCGATGTATTTAGTGAACGGGCAGGTTCCCACCACAGACACCGTGGGAAGGGGGGTATTCCCTACTCACCGAGGGCAGCCCAACCCCTCCAGGTGTCGGCTCGGGACTAGGGGAGATGGCCGCAGAAACGCCATGTGCACGCGTGGCCGTCCGTGGCCGTCCGTGGTCGTCCGTGGCCCGCTCCTCCTCAGCTCTCATCCACATCCTCAAAAGGGGAGCTCCCGGGGCGGCAGGTGCGGGAGGGGGTGGCGGGAGCCATCTCTCCAGGTGTGACGGTCGGAGGCAGCTGTGTGTCCGGAAGGTAAGACCCAAGACAGAACAAGCGGGGTATCTGGTCTGTTCACACCCTCACACGCTGGTCTCGCCGAACAAGGTCAATAACAAAATGCTTCTGCCGGGGAGAATGTGCCAGGTAAGTCAGGAACAACCACTGACGCTGACATCTACACAGACGAGCAACAACAGATGAATCAAAGACAGACACAGAGACGGCAGACAGAGAGAGGATGGATGTTCAGACAGACACAGGATTCATATATGACAACTAGCTAGATAGATACACTCATATGTACACACACACGTATATACATACACATGTACATACAGATGCACACAGACACATACAAACACATATGTAAATATACACATATGCACCCATACACATGCGTACATACATAGATGCACGCACACGTGTACGTACACACAAACACGTGTACACACGTGCACACACACCCGCATTGACAGACACCATCTGTGCTGCCCTGGCTCTGACACGTGGCACATCCGTTGGAGGGGACGTGGGCAGGTTTCCCCGGGGCTCAGCGTCACAGGCGTGGCTTTCGAACCATCGCTCTCCAGCTACCGTGTCTCGTTCTCGTGTCTGACACAAGAGCCCCTTCACCACAGAATAGCACACTGAGGCACCTCGTCTGTCTGTCCTGACGGTCTCTGCGGAGACTGAGGGCAGACGCAGGCCGCTCGCGGGGTCCAGGGACTTCCTGCTTTCCCAGGGAGACCGTGGGAAGAACGCGGTGCGTACTGACGGGCACACGACAGAGCTGAGCTCCCGTGAAGCTCGTGACTGGGAGTCTCTCTGACAGAGGAGGAGCCAGAGGAGAGACTGTGGGGAGGGGCGGCTGGGCGGACCAGAGCTGACTCCCCCGCTGGCAGGTGCCCGGGGGTGGCCGCCCCTCTGTCTGCAGGGAGAGGCCTCTGAGGTGCCACGTCTTGTCCCGCAGGCCACGCGGCCTCAGGTCTGGGCCCAACAACACTGCTCTGCCCCTGTTCCCGCCTCAGGGAGGAGCAGCGCCAGGCCCTGGGGCCCTCGGGGGCACCACGCCCTCCACTCGGTTTCTCCCTCTCCCACGGGACGGCTGACCACGTCTCTCCCGTCAACGCCGCCGATTCGAATGTTTCGGACGATTCTGCTTTTCCTGGTTGGAGCCGACAGATTCCAGCGGGAATCACCCGAAATGGCAGCCTCCCCGTGGACCCGGCGACAGCAGAGGGTCTTCGGTGCGAGGTCCTGACGGGGCCGCGGCTGTGGACAATCAGAGTCAGACCAGGGTGCCTCCCACGGGCCTGCCACGCAAGGGAAGTTCGGTTCCTAAAAGATGTAACATCTTTTTACGGCTTCTGTCTGGACTCGTCGGACAGAGGGCTCCCGGAGGCCACCGGACAGCCTTCCAGCCGCGGCCACTGTCCCGGTCTTTCCCGGTTTCATGATGTCCCTTGAATTGTTAGTTACTGTTCACACTTATTTGGTGGAGGTTTCTCATCATTCATATTCCTTCCCTGCGCGCTGGGCAGATATGCCTCCTTCCAGGACTCATGCTTCCCTGTTATTTCAGCGACCGGTACAGGGCCTGTGGTTCCGCGGAAAACCCTGGGCCAGGAGCCCGAGCTCAGGACCCGCCTCGCCCAGGCACCGAGCGGAGGGTGCGCCCCGCGCAGAGGAAGCAGCATTTCGGAGCAGGGACTCCAGGCTTATAACTGACTGAAGACCTTCGCTGAAACTCAGCCCTTCTTACATGTTTTGCAGGTTAAAACAGGGGTGCACAGAACCTTTCCGAGGACGCGCAGGTCCCCAAGCCCAGGGCCGTCTTCCGGCCCCGCCCCACGCAGGCGCCAGCAGCCTCCCCCGGGAAGGGCCCTTTGCCAGCTTCCTGTGAGCACTGTGATCAGGGCGCATCATGTAGATGTGACACAT